TGTATGAGCTGTCTTTGATGAGGCAAATACTCCGTTATATATGTCAATTACAGTAGGATAATGTCTGGTTTGGTAAATGTCATTGTTTTTATCCATATGCAAGTTAAGATGACTTTCATACCATCTTTTTGTTATAATCTTTATACATATTCGGCATTTCTTCGTGACTGATGTTTCCTTTGGTGTTTGGTTTTTTGAAAGTTCTCTGAAGGAAAAATGAATATATATTTAGCATAGAATAGGTGGATTGATACTACGGACAAGCAGTCTTCGAGTTTCACAAATTAAGCACAAGTTTAGGATTTTCTCTAATTTTGCCCTCCCCCGCTCGACGATGAAGGTATACGACAACATTCATGCTTTTTATTCACCGAGGGGAAACATCAAATTCTCCTGTCTGGTCTCTTCCTCCCCGAGGGTATCGCCAGTCCAGTAGTCAGCACTTCGCTGTTGACATGAATATCAATAATATGGTAATTTTTATAAATTTCCTCTTTACCAAATCATGAATTTCGAAATACTAAGGATTTTCTTATCCCAGGCATATATTACCTTGGCCGTATTTGGCATTACTTTTTGGAATTATGGGTCCTCAATGCTCTTCAAATTTGTACTTCTTTGGCTTTATAACTATTTTGATCTGAGCGTCACTGATGAGTCTTATGTAGACGAAACGCGCGTCTGGCGTATTGAATTATAATCCTGGTACCTTTGATAACTTAACACATTCTGAATTATCCTTGCGTGAGAATATGTTAGTCCCCGAAATCTTATTTAATTGAAGAACAGAACAGAAACACAAACAAAAAAAATGTAAACTGCAATTTATTCCGCAGCAGCCACTCCAAACAGTAGAACAAACGAACAAAGCAAGAAAACAGCGGAAATGACTCACTAGTAGTAGAGAGTGAGAGTGCCCTCCTCAAGTGAGGATACTTCTAATCCCCCCTATAATCCCCCTAATCTTCCAGCTTTCTCTAATCTTCATAATCCAGCTTATGGTACGATTTTAAGCACTCTAATCTTCTTAAAGCAGCTTATGATGCAACTTAAAGCACATTATTATGTAATCAATTGGATTAAGATAATCCTTATCTTTTAATCTAGATTATAGATCGTCAATGTTTTGTTCCCCCTTTTAATCCTGATTAGAGTAAACAATTGTTAATTATAAACTATTTGTTTTCGGATTAGAGAACCAACTCTTAATTGATATCCTAGATTAGAGGAATCACTTTTAATAATTGACCTATTGTTTGGAGATAATTGAAATCCATTTGTGTTCGGACAAAATTAGCGGATCCTTTGTTTGATTAAATGAAATGAATTGTAACGGAAAGAGAGACAGACTATTTTTATTTTTACAGGAAATACTCTACAACACAGATTGCAAGAAAGAAGAAATATTTACGAACCACTAACTTTATTTTCTTACAAACTAGTCGAGATAAGGATAGTTAAAATACAAAAAAGTTTTTTCTTTTTTTTTCTTTGTAAATTCATGATATTATTTTTCTTTCTTTTCTCGATTAGTTTGTTTAAAAATAAAATACCATGTTGTCTCATCTATATATAGTTTCTTAAAACAAACAAAAATAACACCTTTCATTTGATAAACATTTATTTAAAATATTTAAAATTGTATTTGATATTTGTTGAAACATTTAAACTGCAACCATTTTTTTTCCTTTCTTTTGTATGATGAATATACTGTTCATATCCTTCACTGTATTCATCTGTTAAAATAACCTTTTTTGGTCATCTAATAAAGAGTCGAGAAAATCTACTTCCATCGGTTCCTAAAACATATATACACTTGTAATTAAGTATTCATTTTTAGTAATAAATAATATTTAATTATTTGATAAGAAAACAAACAAAATATGATGAAATTCATTTTTCTTTAAAATCAAAATAGAAGAAAAAAAATCGTTCTTTTAATCAGGTAAAGATAATAAAAGCTTTCCTTTATTCACCCACGTGACGTCACCTCTTCACACTCTAATTATAGAAATTGAAGATGATCGCCATGTTTTTGTTTGTTGTCCTGAGTTGTTTTTTATCAATTACCCATGTGGGAAGTGATGTAAATACAGCAGATTGTTATACAAGTGAAGAAATATTGGATTGTCGAGGTGGTGGTATTCAATACTTTAGTGGAGAGATAGATCCTTCTATTAACAGGGTGTTGATGAACTATATTCTGAAAAGTGACCAGATTCAAAATGTCCGCGTGAAAGCCACTTGTGTGTTCGAACTTACGATGTCAAATAAAGAGCTATGTGGCACAGTGGAAGGGAAAATTATAGGGGTGAACGGGGAAGAATGCTTATCGTATGTAAGTACCCCCAAGGGTGACTGGGGAATAGAAGTATGGTCACCATTGGTCTTCCTCCGACCGGCAGTAAAACCCGTGCTAAAGTGGGGCGTCCGTTTGGCTGTGCGGGATGTACAAATTTGCAGCCACGTCCGGTCAGAATGGGGACGTTAAATCCGATGCCTCGTGTAAAGAGAGTGCCACGCTCTTTGCACGTTAAGAACCCTTGCAACAACTCTTTGAGGGGTCCGTAGGTGACCTGTTGCAAGGCTAAATTTCTGTCCCTATCCAATATACCCTCATTTCCCGTGGCAGTCTAAATTTCTCCGACCTTAATCCCTTAATCTATTACGGAACCTACCTATTGTATTTATTGTGAACTTGTTCTCGTCCTGAATATGCATGAAATATTTGCCACTGGACGTTAAGCAACCAACAATCAATCAATCGTATGTAAGTACATCGTGTTTGATTAAATTTTAAAAGTGAAAAAATAGTTGAATAGTTAGCATGATTACCATATTAGGAAGTTAATTACATGACCATATAAGGAAAGCATGTGCTATTTTGTATACCTTATTAGGAAATGTTAATCATGTGACCATATAAGGTAAAAAAATAACCACGTGATAAATATTTTGATTTCGATTATTGATAAAAATTGATTTATTGTTGAAAATAAAAAAATTATATACTCACATTGAGATATATCTCACTCGCTTCTTTTATATCATTTTCTAATGATATGTCCTGATAAGAAAATAATGTAGGAAATTAACATAGTGAGATATATGTCTATGTAAAGGAAGTAATCTATGTCATAAATTTGATTTATAAACTTTAAAAAAATCTTTATTTCATTAGTTATCAATCGCAATTACTCATGTTAAACAATATATTTTGATTATGATTATTGTAATATAAAGGATTATATTTATAAAAGAGTTATGCTTACATTTTTTTGTTTACTACATGTACTGCTGCTTCCACTTGCAACATATCACTGCTAAAATCATGTTTAGTGATGATATTAGTTAGGCCAGTATCCAAATTCTTGAACGAGCTTAAAAACCTATTCATTATGCTGACGGATCATGTATAACAGTGTAAATGTATCTTATGGTGAGTATCCAAGTATTGGTGGATCATCGCAAAAGCAGTTTCCTCTGCATCGCGACAGAGAATAACAGTTGTCACATTTTAACCCGCTGCCAATCTCCTCTGCGATATAAAAGCCTGCATTTGCCTTTACCTCAAACGACGGAACATTTTCACTAAAATCAAGTCTACACTCCCCGATTGCTACTACATCCGACTCTCTTTTCAAGACCAAACATTCAATTTCATGTAGCACTGACATATTAAAATCTCGAATCTTCTTGGGATGGCAACCAACCGTCGAAAAGATCTTTTTCTTCATCTATTGTTCTGGTTTCAGCGTATCATGCAAAAGATGATGCAATCTAGAGGAACGCATTGAATCATTGATTGTTGTTTGCTTTACGCCTCATGAGCACTAAAAGGTTATATCGCGGCGAGAGCTAATTCGAATATTTCTACAATTTAATTTATATTTTTAAAATCAGACAAAAGGTCCTCAAATAAACTAAAATTCTAGACTAAAGCAAATTGATTATTTACAAATAAAATACCAGTAATTGCTAGGATTCTTGAAATCTATGCCAAGGCGTTCCACTAACCTATACTGAAATTGTATGTCAAGATATGTTACCTGCTCACGCCTTTTATGATCTTTAATTGCTGAAAAAGCAATGATCATTAGTTCATTAACAGAATATATTCATGCATGAAATATCAAGAAACGAAGTAAGAAAGTGTATGAGCAAAATTTGCAGGTTATACACTGTTTACACAACGTCCGGTGGCAAATATTTCATACATATTCAGGGGCATTTGATTTTGATCTATGAAACCATGTAAATACATAATCTATAAATTAAAAACGAAACAATTTCAGAAAGTCAGCCATAGCCTAGAGCATTATACCACCGTATGTATGAGAAAAAGAATAAGAATGATATTACGATGTTAACCTTGAATAAAATGCCGCCAATTAGAAAACATGTTTTATATATACACACCCCCAAGGGTGACTGGGGAATAGAAGTATGGTCACCATTGGTCTTCCTCCGACCGGCCGTTTGGCTGTGCGGGATGTACAAATTTGCAGCCACGTCCGATCAGAATGGGGACGTTAAATACGGTGCCTCGTGTAAAGAGAGTGCCACGCTCTTTGCACGTTAAAAACCCTTGCAACAACTCTTTGAGGGGTCCGTAGGTGACCTGTTGCAAGGCTAAATTTCTATCCCTATCCAATATACCCTCATTTCCCGTGGCACTCTACATTTCTCCGACCTTAATCCCTTAATCTATTACAGAACCTACCTATTGTATTTATTGTTACTTTGTTCTCGTCCTGAATATGCATGAAATATTTGCCACTGGACGTTAAGCAACCAATAATCAATCAATCAATTATATATACACAGGTAAATAAAAATAGTTTTGAGACGTATTGGAGAAAATAAATAATTTTGTTGTTCATAGTAGGAGTGAAAATTTATAATCATGGTTCATACCTTGTTTGTATTAAAATTAAATTTTATCTTACAACCCTTGTCAAGTGAGTCTTTCGTGTTGCATCATTATTTTCTGACATTAGTGTTATATCAATAATGATCAAATAATTATTATGAAAACAAAATGTCTAAGTGGCTTGGTACTCAAATGGCTTCATTTTGCCAATAAATATATCCTTTGCATAATTAAAATTTAATACATTTTCATTTATCAAGGTTTATGAGCAATTTCTTTAACTTACAAATGAATATATGCAATAACAGGAAAATATTTCAAAATATATTTAAAAAATAATCAAAAAAATATTTGTGACTTTATGTCCTGTGACTTTTTGTCCCCCCTCATACTTTGAACGACAAAATTATTTTATGTCTACCTGTGCGAATTTCAAACGCGCGATTTTACACCAGTACTTAAAACCTTCCATCCTTTATGGGTGGATTTTACATAGATAAATAGAATCGTATAATATAAGTAAAATGAGGATGTTAAATTTGATGTATGCCTTTTTGTGCTTCTTCGTTACATTTGTCTGTTTTTATAGTTATCACTGTCACTTAGATCCTTGATTTCCGATGCTAACATGTCCAAGTGCCATTTGATAGCTGTTTTGTGATGATATGTTCTCTTTCCCGAAGAACAGTGACATGACTAAAGTCTTTTTTACGGTATCAAATGTTACAATTGTTCTCTTTAATTTTGACCAGTATCTCCTTCTTTCGGCATGAACAGAAAAAAATAAACTGCAAGAAACTGAATGTGGAATCCTTAAAAAGACTAAGAAAAGGGCATGTTCTAATACAGCTTGTTCTTGTAGTTGATGCACCATATGACCTTGATCTTGTGTGAGTTTTTTTTTCTTCCACCATTTGTTCTTATGAAACGGAGTTTAAAATTTCTTTACATTGCTAAATTGCATAATGACTTTATCTAGCATTTGGACATTCAAAGGAATAGTTGCGATCACGTTTCGCTATTTGTTGATCTTCTATACATTTTTTTTATTCTCTCAAAATATACCAGCATCAGGTCTACTAGTTATTTAGGCCACGTGGCCAGGATCGAAGGGGCCTGAAATGTTCTTTGATGAGGCAAATACTCCGTTATATATGTCAATTACAGTAGGATAATGTCTGGTTTGGTAAATGTCATTGTTTTTATCCATATGCAAGTTAAGATGACTTTCATACCATCTTTTTATGTCTATAAATCTTTATACATATTCGGCATTTCTTCGTGACTGATGTTTCCTTTGGTGTTTGGTTTTTTGAAAGTTCTCTGAAGGAAAAATGAATATATATTTAGCATAGAATAGGTGGATTGATACTACGGACAAGCAGTCTTCGAGTTTCACAAATTAAGCACAAGTTTAGGATTTTCTCTAATTTTGCCCTCCCCCGCTCGACGATGAAGGTATATGACAACATTCATGCTTTTTATTCACCGAGGGGAAACATCAAATTCTCCTGTCTGGTCTCTTCCTCCCCGAGGGTATCGCCAGTCCAGTAGTCAGCACTTCGCTGTTGACATGAATATCAATAATATGGTAATTTTTATAAATTTCCTCTTTACCAAATCATGAATTTCGAAATACTAAGGATTTTCTTATCCCAGGCATATATTACCTTGGCCGTATTTGGCATTACTTTTTGGAATTATGGGTCCTCAATGCTCTTCAAATTTGTACTTCTTTGGCTTTATAACTATTTTGATCTGAGCGTCACTGATGAGTCTTATGTAGACGAAACGCGCGTCTGGCGTATTGAATTATAATCCTGGTACCTTTGATAACTTAACACATTCTGAATTATCCTTGCGTGAGAATATGTTAGTCCCCGAAATCTTATTTAATTGAAGAACAGAACAGAAACACAAACAAAAAAAATGTAAACTGCAATTTATTCCGCAGCAGCCACTCCAAACAGTAGAACAAACGAACAAAGCAAGAAAACAGCGGAAATGACTCACTAGTAGTAGAGAGTGAGAGTGCCCTCCTCAAGTGAGGATACTTCTAATCCCCCCTATAATCCCCCTAATCTTCCAGCTTTCTCTAATCTTCATAATCCAGCTTATGGTACGATTTTAAGCACTCTAATCTTCTTAAAGCAGCTTATGATGCAACTTAAAGCACATTATTATGTAATCAATTGGATTAAGATAATCCTTATCTTTTAATCTAGATTATAGATCGTCAATGTTTTGTTCCCCCTTTTAATCCTGATTAGAGTAAACAATTGTTAATTATAAACTATTTGTTTTCGGATTAGAGAACCAACTCTTAATTGATATCCTAGATTAGAGGAATCACTTTTAATAATTGACCTATTGTTTGGAGATAATTGAAATCCATTTGTGTTCGGACAAAATTAGCGGATCCTTTGTTTGATTAAATGAAATGAATTGTAACGGAAAGAGAGACAGACTATTTTTATTTTTACAGGAAATACTCTACAACACAGATTGCAAGAAAGAAGAAATATTTACGAACCACTAACTTTATTTTCTTACAAACTAGTCGAGATAAGGATAGTTAAAATACAAAAAAGTTTTTTCTTTTTTTTTCTTTGTAAATTCATGATATTATTTTTCTTTCTTTTCTCGATTAGTTTGTTTAAAAATAAAATACCATGTTGTCTCATCTATATATAGTTTCTTAAAACAAACAAAAATAACACCTTTCATTTGATAAACATTTATTTAAAATATTTAAAATTGTATTTGATATTTGTTGAAACATTTAAACTGCAACCATTTTTTTTCCTTTCTTTTGTATGATGAATATACTGTTCATATCCTTCACTGTATTCATCTGTTAAAATAACCTTTTTTGGTCATCTAATAAAGAGTCGAGAAAATCTACTTCCATCGGTTCCTAAAACATATATACACTTGTAATTAAGTATTCATTTTTAGTAATAAATAATATTTAATTATTTGATAAGAAAACAAACAAAATATGATGAAATTCATTTTTCTTTAAAATCAAAATAGAAGAAAAAAAATCGTTCTTTTAATCAGGTAAAGATAATAAAAGCTTTCCTTTATTCACCCACGTGACGTCACCTCTTCACACTCTAATTATAGAAATTGAAGATGATCGCCATGTTTTTGTTTGTTGTCCTGAGTTGTTTTTTATCAATTACCCATGTGGGAAGTGATGTAAATACAGCAGATTGTTATACAAGTGAAGAAATATTGGATTGTCGAGGTGGTGGTATTCAATACTTTAGTGGAGAGATAGATCCTTCTATTAACAGGGTGTTGATGAACTATATTCTGAAAAGTGACCAGATTCAAAATGTCCGCGTGAAAGCCACTTGTGTGTTCGAACTTACGATGTCAAATAAAGAGCTATGTGGCACAGTGGAAGGGAAAATTATAGGGGTGAACGGGGAAGAATGCTTATCGTATGTAAGTACCCCCAAGGGTGACTGGGGAATAGAAGTATGGTCACCATTGGTCTTCCTCCGACCGGCAGTAAAACCCGTGCTAAAGTTGGGCGTCCGTTTGGCTGTGCGGGATGTACAAATTTGCAGCCACGTCCGGTCAGAATGGGGACGTTAAATCCGATGCCTCGTGTAAAGAGAGTGCCACGCTCTTTGCACGTTAAGAACCCTTGCAACAACTCTTTGAGGGGTCCGTAGGTGACCTGTTGCAAGGCTAAATTTCTGTCCCTATCCAATATACCCTCATTTCCCGTGGCAGTCTAAATTTCTCCGACCTTAATCCCTTAATCTATTACGGAACCTACCTATTGTATTTATTGTGAACTTGTTCTCGTCCTGAATATGCATGAAATATTTGCCACTGGACGTTAAGCAACCAACAATCAATCAATCGTATGTAAGTACATCGTGTTTGATTAAATTTTAAAAGTGAAAAAATAGTTGAATAGTTAGCATGATTACCATATTAGGAAGTTAATTACATGACCATATAAGGAAAGCATGTGCTATTTTGTATACCTTATTAGGAAATGTTAATCATGTGACCATATAAGGTAAAAAAATAACCACGTGATAAATATTTTGATTTCGATTATTGATAAAAATTGATTTATTGTTGAAAATAAAAAAATTATATACTCACATTGAGATATATCTCACTCGCTTCTTTTATATCATTTTCTAATGATATGTCCTGATAAGAAAATAATGTAGGAAATTAACATAGTGAGATATATGTCTATGTAAAGGAAGTAATCTATGTCATAAATTTGATTTATAAACTTTAAAAAAATCTTTATTTCATTAGTTATCAATCGCAATTACTCATGTTAAACAATATATTTTGATTATGATTATTGTAATATAAAGGATTATATTTATAAAAGAGTTATGCTTACATTTTTTTGTTTACTACATGTACTGCTGCTTCCACTTGCAACATATCACTGCTAAAATCATGTTTAGTGATGATATTAGTTAGGCCAGTATCCAAATTCTTGAACGAGCTTAAAAACCTATTCATTATGCTGACGGATCATGTATAACAGTGTAAATGTATCTTATGGTGAGTATCCAAGTATTGGTGGATCATCGCAAAAGCAGTTTCCTCTGCATCGCGACAGAGAATAACAGTTGTCACATTTTAACCCGCTGCCAATCTCCTCTGCGATATAAAAGCCTGCATTTGCCTTTACCTCAAACGACGGAACATTTTCACTAAAATCAAGTCTACACTCCCCGATTGCTACTACATCCGACTCTCTTTTCAAGACCAAACATTCAATTTCATGTAGCACTGACATATTAAAATCTCGAATCTTCTTGGGATGGCAACCAACCGTCGAAAAGATCTTTTTCTTCATCTATTGTTCTGGTTTCAGCGTATCATGCAAAAGATGATGCAATCTAGAGGAACGCATTGAATCATTGATTGTTGTTTGCTTTACGCCTCATGAGCACTAAAAGGTTATATCGCGGCGAGAGCTAATTCGAATATTTCTACAATTTAATTTATATTTTTAAAATCAGACAAAAGGTCCTCAAATAAACTAAAATTCTAGACTAAAGCAAATTGATTATTTACAAATAAAATACCAGTAATTGCTAGGATTCTTGAAATCTATGCCAAGGCGTTCCACTAACCTATACTGAAATTGTATGTCAAGATATGTTACCTGCTCACGCCTTTTATGATCTTTAATTGCTGAAAAAGCAATGATCATTAGTTCATTAACAGAATATATTCATGCATGAAATATCAAGAAACGAAGTAAGAAAGTGTATGAGCAAAATTTGCAGGTTATACACTGTTTACACAACGTCCGGTGGCAAATATTTCATACATATTCAGGGGCATTTGATTTTGATCTATGAAACCATGTAAATACATAATCTATAAATTAAAAACGAAACAATTTCAGAAAGTCAGCCATAGCCTAGAGCATTATACCACCGTATGTATGAGAAAAAGAATAAGAATGATATTACGATGTTAACCTTGAATAAAATGCCGCCAATTAGAAAACATGTTTTATATATACACACCCCCAAGGGTGACTGGGGAATAGAAGTATGGTCACCATTGGTCTTCCTCCGACCGGCCGTTTGGCTGTGCGGGATGTACAAATTTGCAGCCACGTCCGATCAGAATGGGGACGTTAAATACGGTGCCTCGTGTAAAGAGAGTGCCACGCTCTTTGCACGTTAAAAACCCTTGCAACAACTCTTTGAGGGGTCCGTAGGTGACCTGTTGCAAGGCTAAATTTCTATCCCTATCCAATATACCCTCATTTCCCGTGGCACTCTACATTTCTCCGACCTTAATCCCTTAATCTATTACAGAACCTACCTATTGTATTTATTGTTACTTTGTTCTCGTCCTGAATATGCATGAAATATTTGCCACTGGACGTTAAGCAACCAATAATCAATCAATCAATTATATATACACAGGTAAATAAAAATAGTTTTGAGACGTATTGGAGAAAATAAATAATTTTGTTGTTCATAGTAGGAGTGAAAATTTATAATCATGGTTCATACCTTGTTTGTATTAAAATTAAATTTTATCTTACAACCCTTGTCAAGTGAGTCTTTCGTGTTGCATCATTATTTTCTGACATTAGTGTTATATCAATAATGATCAAATAATTATTATGAAAACAAAATGTCTAAGTGGCTTGGTACTCAAATGGCTTCATTTTGCCAATAAATATATCCTTTGCATAATTAAAATTTAATACATTTTCATTTATCAAGGTTTATGAGCAATTTCTTTAACTTACAAATGAATATATGCAATAACAGGAAAATATTTCAAAATATATTTAAAAAATAATCAAAAAAATATTTGTGACTTTATGTCCTGTGACTTTTTGTCCCCCCTCATACTTTGAACGACAAAATTATTTTATGTCTACCTGTGCGAATTTCAAACGCGCGATTTTACACCAGTACTTAAAACCTTCCATCCTTTATGGGTGGATTTTACATAGATAAATAGAATCGTATAATATAAGTAAAATGAGGATGTTAAATTTGATGTATGCCTTTTTGTGCTTCTTCGTTACATTTGTCTGTTTTTATAGTTATCACTGTCACTTAGATCCTTGATTTCCGATGCTAACATGTCCAAGTGCCATTTGATAGCTGTTTTGTGATGATATGTTCTCTTTCCCGAAGAACAGTGACATGACTAAAGTCTTTTTTACGGTATCAAATGTTACAATTGTTCTCTTTAATTTTGACCAGTATCTCCTTCTTTCGGCATGAACAGAAAAAAATAAACTGCAAGAAACTGAATGTGGAATCCTTAAAAAGACTAAGAAAAGGGCATGTTCTAATACAGCTTGTTCTTGTAGTTGATGCACCATATGACCTTGATCTTGTGTGAGTTTTTTTTTCTTCCACCATTTGTTCTTATGAAACGGAGTTTAAAATTTCTTTACATTGCTAAATTGCATAATGACTTTATCTAGCATTTGGACATTCAAAGGAATAGTTGCGATCACGTTTCGCTATTTGTTGATCTTCTATACATTTTTTTTATTCTCTCAAAATATACCAGCATCAGGTCTACTAGTTATTTAGGCCACGTGGCCAGGATCGAAGGGGCCTGAAATGTTCTTTGATGAGGCAAATACTCCGTTATATATGTCAATTACAGTAGGATAATGTCTGGTTTGGTAAATGTCATTGTTTTTATCCATATGCAAGTTAAGATGACTTTCATACCATCTTTTTATGTCTATAAATCTTTATACATATTCGGCATTTCTTCGTGACTGATGTTTCCTTTGGTGTTTGGTTTTTTGAAAGTTCTCTGAAGGAAAAATGAATATATATTTAGCATAGAATAGGTGGATTGATACTACGGACAAGCAGTCTTCGAGTTTCACAAATTAAGCACAAGTTTAGGATTTTCTCTAATTTTGCCCTCCCCCGCTCGACGATGAAGGTATATGACAACATTCATGCTTTTTATTCACCGAGGGGAAACATCAAATTCTCCTGTCTGGTCTCTTCCTCCCCGAGGGTATCGCCAGTCCAGTAGTCAGCACTTCGCTGTTGACATGAATATCAATAATATGGTAATTTTTATAAATTTCCTCTTTACCAAATCATGAATTTCGAAATACTAAGGATTTTCTTATCCCAGGCATATATTACCTTGGCCGTATTTGGCATTACTTTTTGGAATTATGGGTCCTCAATGCTCTTCAAATTTGTACTTCTTTGGCTTTATAACTATTTTGATCTGAGCGTCACTGATGAGTCTTATGTAGACGAAACGCGCGTCTGGCGTATTGAATTATAATCCTGGTACCTTTGATAACTTAACACATTCTGAATTATCCTTGCGTGAGAATATGTTAGTCCCCGAAATCTTATTTAATTGAAGAACAGAACAGAAACACAAACAAAAAAAATGTAAACTGCAATTTATTCCGCAGCAGCCACTCCAAACAGTAGAACAAACGAACAAAGCAAGAAAACAGCGGAAATGACTCACTAGTAGTAGAGAGTGAGAGTGCCCTCCTCAAGTGAGGATACTTCTAATCCCCCCTATAATCCCCCTAATCTTCCAGCTTTCTCTAATCTTCATAATCCAGCTTATGGTACGATTTTAAGCACTCTAATCTTCTTAAAGCAGCTTATGATGCAACTTAAAGCACATTATTATGTAATCAATTGGATGAAGATAATCCTTATCTTTTAATCTAGATTATAGATCGTCAATGTTTTGTTCCCCCTTTTAATCCTGATTAGAGTAAACAATTGTTAATTATAAACTATTTGTTTTCGGATTAGAGAACCAACTTTTAATTGATATCCTAGATTAGAGGAATCACTTTTAATAATTGACCTATTGTTTGGAGATAATTGAAATCCATTTGTGTTCGGACAAAATTAGCGGATCCTTTGTTTGATTAAATGAAATGAATTGTAACGGAAAGAGAGACAGACTATTTTTATTTTTACAGGAAATACTCTACAACACAGATTGCAAGAAAGAAGAAATATTTACGAACCACTAACTTTATTTTCTTACAAACTAGTCGAGATAAGGATAGTTAAAATACAAAAAAGTTTTTTCTTTTTTTTTCTTTGTAAATTCATGATATTATTTTTCTTTCTTTTCTCGATTAGTTTGTTTAAAAATAAAATACCATGTTGTCTCATCTATATATAGTTTCTTAAAACAAACAAAAATAACACCTTTCATTTGATAAACATTTATTTAAAATATTTAAAATTGTATTTGATTTTTAGTTGAAACATTTAAACTGCAACCATTTTTTTTCCTTTCTTTTCCCCCCCAAGGGTGACTGGGGAATAGAAGTATGGTCACCATTGGTCTTCCTCCGACCGGCAGTAAAACCCGTGCTAAAGTGGGGCGTCCGTTTGGCTGTGCGGGATGTACAAATTTGCAGCCACGTCCGGTCAGAATGGGGACGTTAAATCCGATGCCTCGTGTAAAGAGAGTGCCACGCTCTTTGCACGTTAAGAACCCTTACAACAACTTTTTGAGGGGTCCGTAGGTGACCTGTTGCAAGGCTAAATTTCTGTCCCTATCCAATATACCCTCATTTCCCGTGGCAGTCTAAATTTCTCCGACCTTAATCCCTTAATCTATTACAGAACCTACCTATTGTATTTATTGTGAACTTGTTCTCGTCCTGAATATGCATGAAATATTTGCCACTGGACGTTAAGCAACCAACAATCAATCAATCAATCCTTTCTTTTGTATGATGAATATACTGTTCATGTCCTTCACTGTATTCATCTGTTAAAATAACCTTTTTTGGTCATCTAATAAAGAGTCGAGAAAATCTACTTCCATCGGTTCCTAAAACATATATACACTTGTAATTAAGTATTCATTTTTAGTAATAAATAATATTTAATTATTTGATAAGAAAACAAACAAAATATGATGAAATTCTTTTTTTCTTTAAAATCAAAATAGAAGAAAAAAAATCGTTCTTTTAATCAGGTAAAGATAATAAAAGCTTTCCTTTATTCACCCACGTGACGTCACCTCTTCACATTCTAATTATAGAAATTGAAGATGATCGCCATGTTTTTGTTTGTTGTCCTGAGTTGTTTTTTATCAATTACCCATGTGGGAAGTGATGTAAATACAGCAGATTGTTATACAAGTGAAGAAATATTGGATTGTCGAGGTGGTGGTATTCAATACTTTAGTGGAGAGATAGATCCTTCTATTAACAGGGTGTTGATGAACTATATTCTGAAAAGTGACCAGATTCAAAATGTCCGCGTGAAAGCCACTTGTGTGTTCGAACTTACGATGTCAAATAAAGAGCTATGTGGCACAGTGGAAGGGAAAATTATAGGGGTGAACGGGGAAGAATGCTTATCGTATGTAAGTACCCCCAAGGGTGACTGGGGAATAGAAGTATGGTCACCATTGGTCTTCCTCCGACCGGCAGTAAAACCCGTGCTAAAGTGGGGCGTCCGTTTGGCTGTGCGGGATGTACAAATTTGCAGCCACGTCCGGTCAGAATGGGGACGTTAAATCCGATGCCTCGTGTAAAGAGAGTGCCACGCTCTTTGCACGTTAAGAACCCTTGCAACAACTCTTTGAGGGGTCCGTAGGTGACCTGTTGCAAGGCTAAATTTCTGTCCCTATCCAATATACCCTCATTTCCCGTGGCAGTCTAAATTTCTCCGACCTTAATCCCTTAATCTATTACGGAACCTACCTATTGTATTTATTGTGAACTTGTTCTCGTCCTGAATATGCATGAAATATTTGCCACTGGACGTTAAGCAACCAACAATCAATCAATCGTATGTAAGTACATCGTGTTTGATTAAATTTTAAAAGTGAAAAAATAGTTGAATAGTTAGCATGATTACCATATTAGGAAGTTAATTACATGACCATATAAGGAAAGCATGTGCTATTTTGTATACCTTATTAGGAAATGTTAATCATGTGACCATATAAGGTAAAAAAATAACCACGTGATAAATATTTTGATTTCGATTATTGATAAAAATTGATTTATTGTTGAAAATAAAAAAATTATATACTCACATTGAGATATATCTCACTCGCTTCTTTTATATCATTTTCTAATGATATGTCCTGATAAGAAAATAATGTAGGAAATTAACATAGTGAGATATATGTCTATGTAAAGGAAGTAATCTATGTCATAAATTTGATTTATAAACTTTAAAAAAATCTTTATTTCATTAGTTATCAATCGCAATTACTCATGTTAAACAATATATTTTGATTATGATTATTGTAATATAAAGGATTATATTTATAAAAGAGTTATGCTTACATTTTTTTGTTTACTACATGTACTGCTGCTTCCACTTGCAACATATCACTGCTAAAATCATGTTTAGTGATGATATTAGTTAGGCCAGTATCCAAATTCTTGAACGAGCTTAAAAACCTATTCATTATGCTGACGGATCATGTATAACAGTGTAAATGTATCTTATGGTGAGTATCCAAGTATTGGTGGATCATCGCAAAAGCAGTTTCCTCTGCATCGCGACAGAGAATAACAGTTGTCACATTTTAACCCGCTGCCAATCTCCTCTGCGATATAAAAGCCTGCATTTGCCTTTACCTCAAACGACGGAACATTTTCACTAAAATCAAGTCTACACTCCCCGATTGCTACTACATCCGACTCTCTTTTCAAGACCAAACATTCAATTTCATGTAGCACTGACATATTAAAATCTCGAATCTTCTTGGGATGGCAACCAACCGTCGAAAAGATCTTTTTCTTCATCTATTGTTCTGGTTTCAGCGTATCATGCAAAAGATGATGCAATCTAGAGGAACGCATTGAATCATTGATTGTTGTTTGCTTTACGCCTCATGAGCACTAAAAGGTTATATCGCGGCGAGAGCTAATTCGAATATTTCTACAATTTAATTTATATTTTTAAAATCAGACAAAAGGTCCTCAAATAAACTAAAATTCTAGACTAAAGCAAATTGATTATTTACAAATAAAATACCAGTAATTGCTAGGATTCTTGAAATCTATGCCAAGGCGTTCCACTAACCTATACTGAAATTGTATGTCAAGATATGTTACCTGCTCACGCCTTTTATGATCTTTAATTGCTGAAAAAGCAATGATCATTAGTTCATTAACAGAATATATTCATGCATGAAATATCAAGAAACGAAGTAAGAAAGTGTATGAGCAAAATTTGCAGGTTATACACTGTTTACACAACGTCCGGTGGCAAATATTTCATACATATTCAGGGGCATTTGATTTTGATCTATGAAACCATGTAAATACATAATCTATAAATTAAAAACGAAACAATTTCAGAAAGTCAGCCATAGCCTAGAGCATTATACCACCGTATGTATGAGAAAAAGAATAAGAATGATATTACGATGTTAACCTTGAATAAAATGCCGCCAATTAGAAAACATGTTTTATATATACACACCCCCAAGGGTGACTGGGGAATAGAAGTATGGTCACCATTGGTCTTCCTCCGACCGGCCGTTTGGCTGTGCGGGATGTACAAATTTGCAGCCACGTCCGATCAGAATGGGGACGTTAAATACGGTGCCTCGTGTAAAGAGAGTGCCACGCTCTTTGCACGTTAAAAACCCTTGCAACAACTCTTTGAGGGGTCCGTAGGTGACCTGTTGCAAGGCTAAATTTCTATCCCTATCCAATATACCCTCATTTCCCGTGGCACTCTACATTTCTCCGACCTTAATCCCTTAATCTATTACAGAACCTACCTATTGTATTTATTGTTACTTTGTTCTCGTCCTGAATATGCATGAAATATTTGCCACTGGACGTTAAGCAACCAATAATCAATCAATCAATTATATATACACAGGTAAATAAAAATAGTTTTGAGACGTATTGGAGAAAATAAATAATTTTGTTGTTCATAGTAGGAGTGAAAATTTATAATCATGGTTCATACCTTGTTTGTATTAAAATTAAATTTTATCTTACAACCCTTGTCAAGTGAGTCTTTCGTGTTGCATCATTATTTTCTGACATTAGTGTTATATCAATAATGATCAAATAATTATTATGAAAACAAAATGTCTAAGTGGCTTGGTACTCAAATGGCTTCATTTTGCCAATAAATATATCCTTTGCATAATTAAAATTTAATACATTTTCATTTATCAAGGTTTATGAGCAATTTCTTTAACTTACAAATGAATATATGCAATAACAGGAAAATATTTCAAAATATATTTAAAAAATAATCAAAAAAATATTTGTGACTTTATGTCCTGTGACTTTTTGTCCCCCCTCATACTTTGAACGACAAAATTATTTTATGTCTACCTGTGCGAATTTCAAACGCGCGATTTTACACCAGTACTTAAAACCTTCCATCCTTTATGGGTGGATTTTACATAGATAAATAGAATCGTATAATATAAGTAAAATGAGGATGTTAAATTTGATGTATGCCTTTTTGTGCTTCTTCGTTACATTTGTCTGTTTTTATAGTTATCACTGTCACTTAGATCCTTGATTTCCGATGCTAACATGTCCAAGTGCCATTTGATAGCTGTTTTGTGATGATATGTTCTCTTTCCCGAAGAACAGTGACATGACTAAAGTCTTTTTTACGGTATCAAATGTTACAATTGTTCTCTTTAATTTTGACCAGTATCTCCTTCTTTCGGCATGAACAGAAAAAAATAAACTGCAAGAAACTGAATGTGGAATCCTTAAAAAGACTAAGAAAAGGGCATGTTCTAATACAGCTTGTTCTTGTAGTTGATGCACCATATGACCTTGATCTTGTGTGAGTTTTTTTTTCTTCCACCATTTGTTCTTATGAAACGGAGTTTAAAATTTCTTTACATTGCTAAATTGCATAATGACTTTATCTAGCATTTGGACATTCAAAGGAATAGTTGCGATCACGTTTCGCTATTTGTTGATCTTCTATACATTTTTTTTATTCTCTCAAAATATACCAGCATCAGGTCTACTAGTTATTTAGGCCACGTGGCCAGGATCGAAGGGGCCTGAAATGTTCTTTGATGAGGCAAATACTCCGTTATATATGTCAATTACAGTAGGATAATGTCTGGTTTGGTAAATGTCATTGTTTTTATCCATATGCAAGTTAAGATGACTTTCATACCATCTTTTTATGTCTATAAATCTTTATACATATTCGGCATTTCTTCGTGACTGATGTTTCCTTTGGTGTTTGGTTTTTTGAAAGTTCTCTGAAGGAAAAATGAATATATATTTAGCATAGAATAGGTGGATTGATACTACGGACAAGCAGTCTTCGAGTTTCACAAATTAAGCACAAGTTTAGGATTTTCTCTAATTTTGCCCTCCCCCGCTCGACGATGAAGGTATATGACAACATTCATGCTTTTTATTCACCGAGGGGAAACATCAAATTCTCCTGTCTGGTCTCTTCCTCCCCGAGGGTATCGCCAGTCCAGTAGTCAGCACTTCGCTGTTGACATGAATATCAATAATATGGTAATTTTTATAAATTTCCTCTTTACCAAATCATGAATTTCGAAATACTAAGGATTTTCTTATCCCAGGCATATATTACCTTGGCCGTATTTGGCATTACTTTTTGGAATTATGGGTCCTCAATGCTCTTCAAATTTGTACTTCTTTGGCTTTATAACTATTTTGATCTGAGCGTCACTGATGAGTCTTATGTAGACGAAACGCGCGTCTGGCGTATTGAATTATAATCCTGGTACCTTTGATAACTTAACACATTCTGAATTATCCTTGCGTGAGAATATGTTAGTCCCCGAAATCTTATTTAATTGAAGAACAGAACAGAAACACAAACAAAAAAAATGTAAACTGCAATTTATTCCGCAGCAGCCACTCCAAACAGTAGAACAAACGAACAAAGCAAGAAAACAGCGGAAATGACTCACTAGTAGTAGAGAGTGAGAGTGCCCTCCTCAAGTGAGGATACTTCTAATCCCCCCTATAATCCCCCTAATCTTCCAGCTTTCTCTAATCTTCATAATCCAGCTTATGGTACGATTTTAAGCACTCTAATCTTCTTAAAGCAGCTTATGATGCAACTTAAAGCACATTATTATGTAATCAATTGGATGAAGATAATCCTTATCTTTTAATCTAGATTATAGATCGTCAATGTTTTGTTCCCCCTTTTAATCCTGATTAGAGTAAACAATTGTTAATTATAAACTATTTGTTTTCGGATTAGAGAACCAACTTTTAATTGATATCCTAGATTAGAGGAATCACTTTTAATAATTGACCTATTGTTTGGAGATAATTGAAATCCATTTGTGTTCGGACAAAATTAGCGGATCCTTTGTTTGATTAAATGAAATGAATTGTAACGGAAAGAGAGACAGACTATTTTTATTTTTACAGGAAATACTCTACAACACAGATTGCAAGAAAGAAGAAATATTTACGAACCACTAACTTTATTTTCTTACAAACTAGTCGAGATAAGGATAGTTAAAATACAAAAAAGTTTTTTCTTTTTTTTTCTTTGTAAATTCATGATATTATTTTTCTTTCTTTTCTCGATTAGTTTGTTTAAAAATAAAATACCATGTTGTCTCATCTATATATAGTTTCTTAAAACAAACAAAAATAACACCTTTCATTTGATAAACATTTATTTAAAATATTTAAAATTGTATTTGATTTTTAGTTGAAACATTTAAACTGCAACCATTTTTTTTCCTTTCTTTTCCCCCCCAAGGGTGACTGGGGAATAGAAGTATGGTCACCATTGGTCTTCCTCCGACCGGCAGTAAAACCCGTGCTAAAGTGGGGCGTCCGTTTGGCTGTGCGGGATGTACAAATTTGCAGCCACGTCCGGTCAGAATGGGGACGTTAAATCCGATGCCTCGTGTAAAGAGAGTGCCACGCTCTTTGCACGTTAAGAACCCTTACAACAACTTTTTGAGGGGTCCGTAGGTGACCTGTTGCAAGGCTAAATTTCTGTCCCTATCCAATATACCCTCATTTCCCGTGGCAGTCTAAATTTCTCCGACCTTAATCCCTTAATCTATTACAGAACCTACCTATTGTATTTATTGTGAACTTGTTCTCGTCCTGAATATGCATGAAATATTTGCCACTGGACGTTAAGCAACCAACAATCAATCAATCAATCCTTTCTTTTGTATGATGAATATACTGTTCATGTCCTTCACTGTATTCATCTGTTAAAATAACCTTTTTTGGTCATCTAATAAAGAGTCGAGAAAATCTACTTCCATCGGTTCCTAAAACATATATACACTTGTAATTAAGTATTCATTTTTAGTAATAAATAATATTTAATTATTTGATAAGAAAACAAACAAAATATGATGAAATTCTTTTTTTCTTTAAAATCAAAATAGAAGAAAAAAAATCGTTCTTTTAATCAGGTAAAGATAATAAAAGCTTTCCTTTATTCACCCACGTGACGTCACCTCTTCACATTCTAATTATAGAAATTGAAGATGATCGCCATGTTTTTGTTTGTTGTCCTGAGTTGTTTTTTATCAATTACCCATGTGGGAAGTGATGTAAATACAGCAGATTGTTATACAAGTGAAGAAATATTGGATTGTCGAGGTGGTGGTATTCAATACTTTAGTGGAGAGATAGATCCTTCTATTAACAGGGTGTTGATGAACTATATTCTGAAAAGTGACCAGATTCAAAATGTCCGCGTGAAAGCCACTTGTGTGTTCGAACTTACGATGTCAAATAAAGAGCTATGTGGCACAGTGGAAGGGAAAATTATAGGGGTGAACGGGGAAGAATGCTTATCGTATGTAAGTACATCGTGTTTGATTAAATTTTACAAGTGAAAAAATAGTTGAATAGTTAGCATGATTACCATATTAGGAAGTTAATTACATGACCATATAAGGAAAGCATGTGCTATTTTGTATACCTTATTAGGAAATGTTAATCATGTGACCATATAAGGAAAAAAAATAACCACGTGATAAATATTTTGATTTCGATTATTGATAAAAATTGATTTATTGTTGAAAATAAAAAAATTATATACTCACATTGAGATATATCTCACTCGCTTCTTTTATATCATTTTCTAATGATATGTCCTGATAAGAAAATAATGTAGGAAATTAACATAGTGAGATATATGTCTATGTAAAGGAAGTAATCTATGTCATAAATTTGATTTATAAACTTTAAAAAAATCTTTATTTCATTAGTTATCAATCGCAATTACTCATGTTAAACAATATATTTTGATTATGATTATTGTAATATAAAGGATTATATTTATAAAAGAGTTATGCTTACATTTTTTTGTTTACTACATGTACTGCTGCTTCCACTTGCAACATATCACTGCTAAAATCATGTTTAGTGATGATATTAGTTAGGCCAGTATCCAAATTCTTGAACGAGCTTAAAAACCTATTCATTATGCTGACGGATCATGTATAACAGTGTAAATGTATCTTATGGTGCGTATCCAAGTATTGGTGGATCATCGCAAAAGCAGTTTCCTCTGCATCGCGACAGAGAATAACAGTTGTCACATTTTAACCCGCTGCCAATCTCCTCTGCGATATAAAAGCCTGCATTTGCCTATACCTCAAACGACGGAACATTTTCACTAAAATCAAGTCTACACTCCCCGATTGCTACTACATCCGACTCTCTTTTCAAGACCAAACATTCAATTTCATGTAGCACTGACATATTAAAATCTCGAATCTTCTTGGGATGGCAACCAACCGTCGAAAAGATCTTTTTCTTCATCTATTGTTCTGGTTTCAGCGTATCATGCAAAAGATGATGCAATCTAGAGGAACGCATTGAATCATTGATTGTTGTTTGCTTTACGCCTCATGAGCACTAAAAGGTTATATCGCGGCGAGAGCTAATTCGAATATTTCTACAATTTAATTTATATTTTTAAAATCAGACAAAAGGTCCTCAAATAAACTAAAATTCTAGACTAAAGCAAATTGATTATTTACAAATAAAATACCAGTAATTGCTAGGATTCTTGAAATCTATGCCAAGGCGTTCCACTAACCTATACTGAAATTGTATGTCAAGATATGTTACCTGCTCACGCCTTTTATGATCTTTAATTGCTGAAAAAGCAATGATCATTAGTTCATTAACAGAATATATTCATGCATGAAATATCAAGAAACGAAGTAAGAAAGTGTATGAGCAAAATTTGCAGGTTATACACTGTTTACACAACGTCCGGTGGCAAATATTTCATGCATATTCAGGGGCATTTGATTTTGATCTATGAAACAATGTAAATACACAATCTATAAATTAAAAACGAAACAATTTCAGAAAGTCAGCCATAGCCTAGAGCATTATACCACCGTATGTATGAGAAAAAGAATAAGAATGATATTACGATGTTAACCTTGAATAAAATGCCGCCAATTAGAAAACATGTTTTATATATACACACCCCCAAGGGTGACTGGGGAATAGAAGTATGGTCACCATTGGTCTTCCTCCGACCGGCCGTTTGGCTGTGCGGGATGTACAAATTTGCAGCCACGTCCGATCAGAATGGGGACGTTAAATACGATGCCTCGTGGAAAGAGAGTGCCACGCTCTTTGCACGTTAAAAACCCTTGCAACAACTCTTTGAGGGGTCCGTAGGTGACCTGTTGCAAGGCTAAATTTCTATCCCTATCCAATATACCCTCATTTCCCGTGGCACTCTAAATTTCTCCGACCTTAATCCCTTAATCTATTACAGAACCTACCTATTGTATTTATTGTTACTTTGTTCTCGTCCTGAATATGCATGAAATATTTGCCACTGGACGTTAAGCAACCAATAATCAATCAATCAATTATATATACACAGGTAAATAAAAATAGTTTTGAGACGTTTTGGAGAAAATAAATAATTTTGTTGTTCATAGTAGGAGTGAAAATTTATAATCATGGTTCATACCTTGTTTGTATTAAAATTAAATTTTATCTTACAACCCTTGTCAAGTGAGTCTTTCGTGTTGCATCATTATTTTCTGACATTAGTTTTAAATCAATAATGATCAAATAATTATTATGAAAACAAAATGTCTAAGTGGCTTGGTACTCAAATGGCTTCATTTTGCCAATAAATATATCCTTTGCATAATTAAAATTTAATACATTTTCATTTATCAAGGTTTATGAGCAATTTCTTTAACTTGCAAATGAATATATGCAATAACAGGAAAATATTTCAAAATATATTTAAAAAATAATCAAAAAAATATTTGTGACTTTATGTCCTGTGACTTTTTGTCCCCCCTCATACTTTGAACGACAAAATTATTTTATGTCTACCTGTGCGAATTTCAAACGCGCGATTTTACACCAGTACTTAAAACCTTCCATCCTTTATGGGTGGATTTTACATAGATAAATAGAATCGTATAATATAAGTAAAATGAGGATGTTAAATTTGATGTATGCCTTTTTGTGCTTCTTCGTTACATTTGTCTGTTTTTATAGTTATCACTGTCACTTAGATCCTTGATTTCCGATGCTAACATGTCCAAGTGCCATTTGATAGCTGTTTTGTGATGATATGTTCTCTTTCCCGAAGAACAGTGACATGACTAAAGTCTTTTTTACGGTATCAAATGTTACAATTGTTCTCTTTAATTTTGACCAGTATCTCCTTCTTTCGGCATGAACAGAAAAAAATAAACTGTAAGAAACTGAATGTCGAATCCTTAAAAAGACTAAGAAAAGGGCATGTTCTAATACAGCTTGTTCTTGTAGTTGATGCACCATATGACCTTGATCTTGTGTGAGTTTTTTTTTCTTCCACCATTTGTTCTTATGAAACGGAGTTTAAAATTTCTTTACATTGCTTAATTGCATAATGACTTTATCTAGCATTTGGACATTCAAAGGAATAGTTGCGATCACGTTTCGCTATTTGTTGATCTTCTATACATTTTTTTTATTCTCTCAAAATATACCAGCATCAGGTCTACTAGTTATTTAGGCCACGTGGCCAGGATCGAAGGGGCCTGAAATGTTCTTTGATGAGGCAAATACTCCGTTATATATGTCAATTACAGTAGGATAATGTCTGGTTTGGTAAATGTCATTGTTTTTATCCATATGCAAGTTAAGATGACTTTCATACCATCTTTTTATGTCTATAAATCTTTATACATATTCGGCATTTCTTCGTGACTGATGTTTCCTTTGGTGTTTGGTTTTTTGAAAGTTCTCTGAAGGAAAAATGAATATATATGTAGCATAGAATAGGTGGATTGATACTACGGACAAGCAGTCTTCGAGTTTCACAAATTAAGCACAAGATTAGGATTTTCTCTAATTTTGCCCTCCCCCGCTCGACGATGAAGGTATATGACAACATTCATGCTTTTTATTCACCGAGGGGAAACATCAAATTCTCCTGTCTGGTCTCTTCCTCCCCGAGGGTATCGCCAGTCCAGTAGTCAGCACTTCGCTGTTGACATGAATATCAATAATATGGTAATTTTTATAAATTTCCTCTTTACCAAATCATGAATTTCGAAATACTAAGGATTTTCTTATCCCAGGCATATATATATATCCTTGGCCGTATTTGGCATTACTTTTTGGAATTATGGGTCCTCAATGCTCTTCAAATTTGTACTTCTTTGGCTTTATAACTATTTTGATCTGAGCGTCACTGATGAGTCTTATGTAGACGAAACGCGCGTCTGGCGTATTGAATTATAATCCTGGTACCTTTGATAACTTAACACATTCTGAATAATCCTTGCGTGAGAATATGTTAGTCCCCGAAATCTTATTTAATTGAAGAACAGAACAGAAACACAAACAAAAAAATGTAAACTGCAATTTATTCCGCAGCAGCCACTCCAAACAGTAGAACAAACGAACAAAGCAAGAAAACAGCGGAAATGACTCACTAGTAGTAGAGAGTGAGAGTGCCCTCCTCAAGTGAGGATACTTCTAATCCCCCCTATAATCCCCCTAATCTTCCAGCTTTCTCTAATCTTCATAATCCAGCTTATGGTACGATTTTAAGCACTCTAATCTTCTTAAAGCAGCTTATGATGCAACTTAAAGCACATTATTATGTAATCAATTGGATTAAGATAATCCTTATCTTTTAATCTAGATTATAGATCGTCAATGTTTTGTTCCCCCTTTTAATCCTGATTAGAGTAAACAATTGTTAATTATAAACTATTTGTTTTCGGATTAGAGAACCAACTCTTAATTGATATCCTAGATTAGAGGAATCACTTTTAATAATTGACCTATTGTTTGGAGATAATTGAAATCCATTTGTGTTCGGACAAAATTAGCGGATCCTTTGTTTGATTAAATGAAATGAATTGTAACGGAAAGAGAGACAGACTATTTTTATTTTTACAGGAAATACTCTACAACACAGATTGCAAGAAAGAAGAAATATTTACGAACCACTAACTTTATTTTCTTACAAACTAGTCGAGATAAGGATAGTTAAAATACAAAAAAGTTTTTTCTTTTTTTTTCTTTGTAAATTCATGATATTATTTTTCTTTCTTTTCTCGATTAGTTTGTTTAAAAATAAAATACCATGTTGTCTCATCTATATATAGTTTCTTAAAACAAACAAAAATAACACCTTTCATTTGATAAACATTTATTTAAAATATTTAAAATTGTATTTGATTTTTAGTTGAAACATTTAAACTGCAACCATTTTTTTTCCTTTCTTTTGTATGATGAATATACTGTTCATATCCTTCACTGTATTCATCTGTTAAAATAACCTTTTTTGGTCATCTAATAAAGAGTCGAGAAAATCTACTTCCATCGGTTCCTAAAACATATATACACTTGTAATTAAGTATTCATTTTTAGTAATAAATAATATTTAATTATTTGATTAAAATCAAAATAGAAGAAAAAAAATCGTTCTTTTAATCAGGTAAAGATAATAAAAGCTTTCCTTTATTCACCCACGTGACGTCACCTCTTCACACTCTAAATATAGAAATTGAAGATGATCGCCATGTTTTTGTTTGTTGTCCTGAGTTGTTTTTTATCAATTACCCATGTGGGAAGTGATGTAAATACAGCAGATTGTTATACAAGTGAAGAAATATTGGATTGTCGAGGTGGTGGTATTCAATACTTTAGTGGAGAGATAGATCCTTCTATTAACAGGGTGTTGATGAACTATATTCTGAAAAGTGACCAGATTCAGACTCTCAGGCACTTGTTTATATCTATGGGAAGATTTAGGAGCTCATAATATACGTTGATAGTGGATCTTCTCATGCATAAAAACAAGTGCCAGTGGTCGGACTTTGACACTTCAATGTTTATGACATTTTTTCTAAACCAGAACTTTTTTTTTGTTTTATTTCTGGGCCTAAGGAAAATCTACATTTATGGCTAATTTTAAAGAAGCTATATCTTTCAATAAGTGTAAAGTCCAAGAATGTTTGACCAACCGTTTATTTATTCCCATCTTGGTATAGATCTCAAGTAACATCATGGACTTGGAGGGGGGGGGGGGGGGGCATTTACATTTACTTAAGGCAGGTCAATCAGACCTCACCTTTGATTCCTGTAATAGTAAGGCTTTATCTGATTTGTGTCATTGTACCGTAG